GAAAAATCACAAGGACTTCCCCAGGAACCTTCGTCTGGAGGAGTTAGTGAACACGAAAGCAATTTAGAGTGGCAACAAGAAAGTGCTACAGGGGAGAAATTAAGAAGATCCCCTTCCCATGGGGGCAGTTTTAGTCAAGTAATCTTCACACACAGATCTCTAGGAAAGAGAGACCATCATGAGCCTCAAAGCGGCTTGATTCTAAGTGCAAACTCTATAACTTATCAGAAAGTTGCTACAGAAGAGAGACCTTACAGATGTGATGTGTGTGGGCACAGCTTCAAACAGCATTCCTCTCTAACGCAACATCAGAGAATCCATACTGGAGAAAAGCCCTATAAATGTAACCAGTGTGGGAAGGCTTTCAGTTTGAGGTCATACCTTATTATTCATCAGAGAATTCACAGTGGTGAGAAAGCATATGAATGTAGTGAATGTGGGAAAGCCTTCAATCAGAGCTCAGCCCTCATTAGACATCGCAAAATTCATACCGGTGAGAAGGCTTGTAAATGTAATGAATGTGGCAAAGCATTCAGTCAAAGCTCCTATCTCATTATACATCAAAGAATTCACACTGGCGAGAAACCCTATGAGTGTAACGAGTGTGGGAAAACCTTTAGCCAAAGCTCAAAGCTTATTAGACACCAGCGAATTCATACGGGAGAGAGACCTTATGAGTGTAATGAATGTGGAAAAGCTTTCAGGCAGAGTTCAGAGCTGATAACCCATCAGAGAATACATAGTGGAGAGAAGCCCTATGAATGTAATGAGTGTGGAAAAGCTTTCAGTTTGAGCTCAAACCTCATCAGACACCAGAGAATTCATAGTGGAGAAGAACCTTATCAGTGTAATGAATGTGGCAAAACCTTCAAAAGGAGCTCAGCCCTTGTTCAGCATCAAAGAATCCACTCTGGGGATGAAGCTTATATCTGTAATGAATGTGGGAAGGCTTTCAGGCACAGATCAGTCCTTATGCGCCACCAGAGAGTCCACACTGTAAAATAACTGGTGAATACAGTGAATGGTGTAAATATTCTGGTCAGAATTATATCTTGTTAGTTGAAAATGTTTACTTTGGAATGAGACTCCAGGCTGGTAAACTGCCAGGTCTGGAGTCATTCCAACTTACTGCAGCACTTCCCAATGCTACAGCAAATTGTCCCCCGAAAGCTTTTCCTGTGACGAATCAGAACAGCAAATGGAAGAATCACTGCTTCTAGCTTTTCTCTTACCATTAGGAATACTCAGGAAATAAGAAAACTGGGAATATAACATTAAAACCTCATTTTCATGAGAATGTCATAAAGAGGGTACAGCAACCCAGGCTGTCACTGCATCTAATTGTCCACATGCCAGGTTTGGTATACTGTATGAACAGTAAGAGGGTCATTTTGTCCCAGGAATACAAAAGTTTACTGACCAATTATGAACAGTGACAGGGCAGCAAGACAGATGAGGAAATGGTTTATCAATGATTTATTGAGCCCAGGGCGGTCCAGAAATGAGGAAGTGAAAATAATACAAATTAATTTATCCAACAGTTATTTTTTGTGGGCCTGTGTTGTGCCAGGCACTAGGACTACAATGGGAAATAAGACTGTCTACAGTCGAATGGACAAGGCAAACCGGCAGTGGCATTATGGCATGATCAGTGCTATGTGACCTTTATGAGTACCTGACCCAGCCTTGGATCAGGGAAAGTTTCTGAGAAGAAAACGATCTGAAGGATGAATAGGAGTTAGCCAGGGGAGTAGGCAGGCAGGCCAGGGAAGAATATTCCCAGGAGAGGGAACAATAGACCAAGGAAGAATGTCTGGCACATCCTGAGAAATTTTAAAGGGCCATTTTGTGTGGAGTGTAGCTGTTGAGTTCCTTTTGAAGTGGAGTCATGTCTGTAAGAGAAGCATGGATGTAGCCAGATCCTCTTAAGCAGTGTCTGTAGCAAAATAAGAATCAGTGGAGAAGCTTCTGTTGTTAGAGAAAACCTGGAGTTCTTGGGCCACAGGGTAGAGTGGAGCTTTTTCTTGGTCAGCTGTGGGCTGGAGAAAGGGTTAAACTAGTTTCCTTGCCTCTAGGCTAAGCTAGACCTTGTGCATGTTTGGAGGAGGCCCGATGGTTAGAGCCCAGCCTAGTAGTTAAGCCCCTGTTAGAGTTCTAAATCTTCCCACTAAACAGAAGGACTCCTTTGGTTCTTCAGACTATCAAAGCTGCTGTCTGCTTCCGGCTAACTCACAAAGCCCTGGGTCAGAAGCTGCTATGGCTACCACATTTGTTTCTGGGGCTGTACCTCCATAGCTGTAGTGCACTCCCTTGGCCTCAGGTGCTAAAAAATATTTGTCAGTTGCTAGGTCTGCGACTTATTCTCCAGGCACCTCACATGTGTGCAGTTTTGTCTTTTATTGGCAGTGTATCACAATCTTGTGAATTTTAGTTAAAGACTGTGCTAAAGGGAAGTGGCAACAAAAAGTAACAGTCCTGATCCATCCACAGACTGTGGGAGCCAGTAGGAAAAGTATCCTTGGACTGGTGCTTCTCAGTGCAATGCAGGAAAGTATAAAGTCAGCAACAAAAAAACCTGTTACTCACAATACCTAACAGGTCAGACAGAGTTCTAAAACTTTGCCAAAAAAAGGAAATCTATGGGAATCTAGAATCCTGTGCTTAGGGAAAGAGTTTTCATGAGGATAAGTAGAGAATACCCTTGTTGGGGCATATGTAGATGAGCAGATACTAACCAGTAAGAATGGCAGGGAGGCTAAATCCCCATGCTTGGAGAGTGAAAAGAGAAAGGGATAGGATGACTAACATGTAAGAGCTATTCATACTCAACTCTGTTTCCTCTCCCAAGGTAAAGACAAACTGAAAAGGGTAGGACAATTGATAGGTAGGAATTGATACAACATATATTACAAAAGGGAGAGATTATAGAGTTCTTAACATACCAGTACAAAACCTAAGAGGTACTTTGCTGAGGGCTTTGTATATATGTATTTGTTGTTTCTCTGAGCACATTTTGCAGATGAGGAAATGAAGGCTTAGGATCATGGCTTAGTATCTTATTAGCTAAAAAGTGGTGAGGTCAGACTTCAAAACCAGACAATAGGAAAACAACCCTTCTGTGGAGCCACTTCTCTATAGTATCTCCCCATGAAAAAGTCCCAGTAGAAAAAATTGTACTTAAGTAAGCCAATCACAAAAGAACAAATGCTAATGGGTGATAAACAGTCAGTTGCTAGAATTAAAAATGTAGGAGCACCTGGGTGGCTCAGTCAGTTAAGCGTCTGCATTCAGCTCAGGTCGTGATCCTCAAGTCCCGAGATGAAGCCTGGCTGTGGCTCCCTGCTCAGTGGGTTTCTTCCCTCTGCCCCTCACCCAGCTTGTTCTCTCTCTCTCTCTCTCTCTCTCTCTCTCTCTCTCTCTCTCTCTCATAAGTGAAAAATAAATGAAATCTTTAAAAAATAATAAATAGAATAAAAATTAAAGTGAGAGTTGAGATGGCACTTTTTCCCCTCATAAAATGAAGATTCAGGAAAATCAGGAATCCAATGCTGCTGGTGAGCTGTGAATAGATACCATCTCTGGCAATCAATCCCAGAAGCCTTAAGCATTGCCTTTTGACTTTAAAATTCTACCTGGAAATGTATGCTTCAGAAAACACCATGAATGTATACAAAGTCTTAAAAGCTGTTAAGATGTTGATGTCAAAAGAAATGACAACATATCTTAAGTAAAAATAGAACATGTACAATATGACTCCATGTAAAAAATATATTTATGCATTAAAAATCCTGGAAATATGTAATCTCAGTGCTACACCGGCTATCTCTGGGTGATAAAATTATAGGTGATTTAATTTTTTCCTTGTGATTCTGTGTCCTCCAAACTTTCCTACAAGAAATACCTCTAACTTCAGAGAAAGAAAGATTAAAAGGAATGAGAACCCAGGATAATCAAGAAATACTAAGGAAAATACGCGCTTTTTATATCATCTTTGTCCCTCCCAAGTCCTAAGTTACCTAACTTGTTAACTCTGACCCTAACTCTTCCTCATTGTTAATGGTTAGTGGCAGACACAACCATCTCACACTAGTATACAAAAAACCTCTGCAAATCATAAGTTTCTGTGCAAATAGAAGTTAACTGCATGAAGGCTATCTGTAATTGAGGAAAGCAATGACCTTGAAGTTGAGCCCTTGGTTCATGTTAGTGCTTTCTCATGAATTCTGCAGCCATGAGCAAGTCACCTCACAACCCTCAGTTTAAAGGAGCTGAAGTAGATGACCTTTTATAAAGCTTCAACATTCTTTGTGTTTATGAAAGAGCAGGCACCAAAATAAGGTAGATGTCAAAGGCAATTTGTAAAGATGTGCAATTTAGGCAGGGTCCTTAATACCACTTTCCTACCTCTTGCCTTCTCATTTCCATAGATTGCAATTAACTCTGCCCAGCTGGAGACTGGAAATTTAAGCAAATTTGACCTTGCTATATCCAAGCTCCCCTGTGAAATCCTTTGCTTCTCTTGCCCCATTATGTGAATCTAAGTATGGGGGATTGCCAATTAGATATTTCCCATACAGAAGAAACTGACCTGGAGAGCATTTCTGCAAAGAAGGGCAGACCCCAATGACACCCATCTACCCCCTACTTTCTAATGGATCAGAACCAGACATTGATACTGTCATCTGCAGCTGGTGCAAAGGATCACAAATCTAAAGGGTCTTGGGTTTTTTCTGTACATGTTTCTGTTGAGGACTTGCTGAGAGAGGAGGGGAAGTCTGTCACAGAACCCCAGGCTCTTGCCTCTAACGCTTCCTGCTTCTAAGGTGCACGCTGTATATGTATGTTTAAAGAGGCTGCTTGTTCTCCTTCCCACAGTTTTTCAACCAGCTGCCCCTAAACGTTGTGACTTCACCTGCTGAACTGCAGCCCAAAGGGCTATCAGCTTCCAGACACCTTTGGACACCTTTTGAAATAAAACCAAGAACATCAATCTTCTTACTTGCTCCAATCCCCCCTGCTTTCTCCCAGCATACCTCCACTTCTGTTACTATGCTCCTGAACAAATCATTTCCAGAGCAAAACTTTTAAGATTCAGATTTTATTACATCTTGTATTACATTCTAATACTCAACAGTTTAAGTATATACTCAAAGTATAAATGTTACGATCAGTTACTAAAAATGATTTAGCAAACAAGGTATTTACCAAAAAAATACTAGGGTTGGGGAAAGAAGAAACCAATAGATTGTATGCCAAAATGTTAACAATGTTTTTGTGGGTGATGGGATTGAGGGGGATTTCTACTTTTTCATTTTCTATATTACCAACATTTACAATTAATTCACAACCTGGGGGGGGGAAATCTTATTAAAATGAAAAATATGAAATCATCCAATTGTCACCTATAGGAAAAAGGCAACTCCATCTATTTGAAGGGTCTCTCCAGACTTCTGATTGACCTCACTCAATGAAAATCTCCCAACCTGTGGACACAAAAACTGTTCCTTCCCCCCACTTCACCTCCCATATTACCCCAAACAGCTTTGACCGTTGAGTCTTCAAAAGAGACAGTATCTGGAAGGTAAATCAGCATACCTTAGAAGATAATCAAACCTTCTCTTACATATGAATTGCCTTCAACAATTAATGGTTGTTTAATTAAAACTGCCAAAATAAAAATTAGCAGAGAAGTAGAGTTTTGAGGAATCTGGGGGTAATTCAATAAGTACCTTTGAGCCTGATAATAAGGGGAGGGGTAGGAAATGAGGACTAGTGGCTCCTGGGAAGGCAGAGCTCCCCACTCCTACGCTCCCATTTCCTGGGAGCTTCCCATTTCCTGAACTCTAGAGTCATGGCACACCAAACACTGTCCCTCTAGCCTCCCAATGTTTTCTTTCCTTGGTGTACATACATGCCTTTTTCCACAGGATGCACCAAAGTCTACCATCACACTAATTGTCCTGAGTACCTTAAGGTCTTTTACGTAACTCTGGGTCTGGGATAGGCTACCCAACTCTGTGATTATAAACAGGAAGAGAGGAACCAACACAAGTCCTGGCTTCTAAACCAAGGTCTATGCAAACAAATTCCTGCTGGAGGAGTCCTGATGAAGAGACCTCTCAAGATCCTCTCTCCATGCCTTTGTATGTGCTACAACCTCTACCTATAATGTTCTTCTCTTCCCTCTTGCCTTGACCTGGCTTATAGGCACCCTTTATTCCTCAAGAAAGATTTTGTCACATTCAGGGGATCCCTGGGTGGCACAGCGGTTTGGCGCCTGCCTTTGGCCCAGGGCGCGATCCTGGAGACCCGGGATCGAATCCCACGTCGGGCTCCCGGTGCATGGAGCCTGCTTCTCCCTCTGCCTGTGTTGTGTCTCTGCCTTTCTCTCTCTCTCTCTCTCTCTCTCTCTCTCTCTCTCTCTCTCTCTCTCTCTGTGTGTGTGACTATCATAAATAAAAAAAATTAAACAAACAAACAAGATTTTGTCACATTCAGAAAGCCTTTAGTGACTCACACCAGGTTAGGTGCCCCTGTTATGTATTTTGACAGAATCCTAGATATTTCTACCAAAGCACTTATCACACTTTACTGTCATTACCTGCTTAATAAATATATATGTATCTCATTAAGCCTTTAACTCTGGGAGGGCAATGGCCATGTCTACCCCTGATGGCTAGCACATAGCAGGTGCTCAATAAATAAAGAGACCTCAGTTGACCTCAGTAAGCTCAGGGTTGAGAAAAGGCCTGGCAAGGGGGGCACAATGAACTATAAACTAATCCAGGGCATAATTCAACATTTCACAACCTCACAATTCAACACTTTGGAGAACAAAGTGACACTCAGCACATGCCTCCGACTGCCAGATGCCCGCTGTTCTTGCTGGACAGAGATCCTTGCCATTGGAGGTACCACCTCTCAGTCTACCTGATAAGGAGCTCTTTCGGGATCTTTACCCCAATGCTGGCTGTATTGTGAAGGTGCCTGCCCATTCAACACATCCACAACCATCTTTGTGTGGATCACCTTATACAGCAAGTACTGACTTGGGAGTGGAAGGGCAGGAACTATGTTCTCAGGAAACTTTGGTGGTAGTGGGAGTGGGGAGGGGGTCTTGCCCCAAAAGTGAATCCCTAGTATTACAGAATTATACAACCCTGACATAAGAGTTAAACTCTGGTGTGAGTTCTCTGGTGCTGCATAAGGCCTGATCTGTGCCTAAATGTTTTCCTACATTTGCTACATTCATAAGGTTTCTCCCCAGTGTGGATTCTCTGGTGCTGCGTGAGGGCTGAGCTCTGATTGAAGGATTTTCCACATTCATTACACTCATAGGGTTTTTCTCCAGTGTGAATTCTTTGGTGTTCAATAAGGATGGAGCTTCTACCAAAAGCCTTACCACATTCAGTACACTCATAGCCTTTGTCTCCAGTGTGAATTTTCTTGTGCTGAATGAGGGCTGAGCTCCGGCTGAAGGCTTTCCCACATTCACTGCATTCATATGGTTTCTCTCCAGTGTGAATTCTCCGATGCCTAATGAGCTCTGAGCTGCCCCGGAAAGCTTTTCCACATTCACAACATTCATAGGGTTTTTCACCACTATGAATCCTCTGATGTCTAACGAGGTCCGAGCTCAAACTAAAAGCTTTGCCACACTCTTTACATGCATAAGGCCTCTCTCCAGTGTGAATTCTCTGGTGTCTAATCAGCTTTGAGCTCTGGCAAAAGGCTTTCCCACAGTCCAAGCACTCGTAGACCTTTCCTCCAGCATGAACTCTTTGCCGTGTTACAACATTTGAGTTCACATTGAGAGTTCTTTCACTCTTGTCATAGTCAAGGACACACTCTTCAGTAGAGACTTTCTTGTTGAACGTTGTCAGACTAAGATGTCTTTCCTGGGAAGGGGGAGGACTCCTTTTGTTCCTTGCAGCTGTTTCTTTTGGCTTCTCAATATTGGGAGAAGCTCCCAAAGCTTCTACTACCTGTCCTGAAGGACTTTCCCCAGGGAGTCTTCCTGGGGATATCATGGCCGCTGATGCTACACATTCAATAATTTCTTGCTTTGCTGTTAATACTTTGTCAGCTGCCAGCTTGCCGTCTAAAAATGTGAATAGAAATACTAGTGTCATTCAATCCTCATGTTAAAAGAAAGGAAATCTATCATAACAAGAATATAAAGTAACCCAAATGAAGTAGGTACTTACCTATTAGGAAAAATCTTAACTTGCTTCCTGATCTAGAATTTGGAGAAGTGACCTGGGGTGGGGTGAGAGGTGGCACCCTCAGAGAGTAAGGGAGACATAGAACAAGAGTCAGCAGTGGAGAGGAGGGATGGTGAGCAGGGAAAGACATGATTTAGAGGAGATGGTGATAAACAGGAGTAGCAATGAAAGATCAGGAAGCCAGGAGACTATCCTGAGTTAGAGGAGAAGATGTGTTTTCTGGCAACAAGGGAAAAGAAAAGAGACGATAGCGAGTGCTCAGGAGAAAAAAAAAAGAGGTCTAAGAAACCTGAATAAGTGGTACCCCTAGAAAAGTAAGAGAGCAGGATATAGATGAGGAAATGCTTTCGGAGTTAGAATTGAGCAGAGGTAGGTAAGCAAGAACTAGAATGCAGCATGGCAATTGCAGATTCTGGTAGGTTCTAAGTAGACCCAACGATTATAAGCAAATAGAATAAGATAGAGCATAAGAAAAGGAATATTGTAGTTTCCTGACTCATTCTGGGATCAGGTGGGAGTCTTATTATGTGCAAATGGTCAAAGGCAGATGGAAACAAGAGGCAGATGTGACCACCTGGAGCCAAACTTTCAGCTCTCAAAACCAGCCCCTCTCATTTCTAGATTTCTAGTAACTCAGGAGGAGACTACTAGGTGTTGGCTAAGGGAACTTGAATTATTTTGAGAGGGAATATCTGAAAAACTGTTCAGTTACTTTCATCCTCCCAGAAGTCCTCTAAACTTGAATGCGTTTTACAGATAAAGAAATGAAGGCTCAGAGAGGCAACATCATCTATGTAATTCAAATTAATTCGCAATTGGAAGAGTGAGGATTCAAAGATGCTCAGCATCAAGGCCTGCGGTTTTCCCCTATGTTCCCTACCTGGTCAGGGACCTGTATGGTCTAAAAGCCTTTTAACTAGGGATGTGGTCTTTAATTGCACATTAACAAACATGCTTTTAGCCTTTAATGTTATGTAGATGATGCTCCACTGTCCATCCAGACCTGCTTTATGAATATGGTGCCTCCTTCCCCCAGGTGCTGTGAGTGTTGGCTCCTAATACCCACAGGTGCCCCCTTCTCTGAAGAGTTGCCCTGGCTGATGAGAACCATCTGGCCCACGATGTTATTTACACCCCCACCTCCTTAAGAAGGGACAACTCAGCAGTGCCCTTAAGCTCGGGGTGGGGGTGAGGTCAGGATCCCACAAACCCGCAGAGACTAAGCCAAGGCTAAGTTTTACCCAAGACCACATTATGGCTTGATATTTTCCCTTCCTAACTCTGCTCTTCTCACTCCATTACAGATTTCTTCTGAAGGGCCCTCTGCACCCAAATCTCCATATCTCAGGCTCTTCTTCTGGCATGATATACTGTTAGGCTGGGAAAATCATAACCAAGGATATAGGTTGTAACAATGTAACAATGTGACTCTTAAAGTTCTTTCAAGGTGGATCCCTCCAGTGATTTAAACCTTACAACCTAGGTGAACAATGTGAAATACTCAACGTTAATTCCTCAGATGCAGGGCTCACCAAGACCCCTAAGACTGAAAAGCGATGAGCACAATGAGCCTTATCAGTCCACAGGAGTAATATGCCACTGTGAAGGAACAAAAACACAGTGCAACGGATGAGAGCTGGGAAATGAATCTATCATATATTTTAAATTAATCGGATCCTCCTTAGAGTTGTTTTTATTTTATCCTTGTACTTCAAATGAATGTGGAGGAACTGAAGCATGTCCAGAGAAATGTGCTAAGATGATCAGAGAGAATCAGAGGCAGTGAGATGCTTAGTCAAGAAAGATGTGGTACTCTCTTCCAGATTTTTTCCTCCCTTAGGTGCTCTGCCTCAGCCCTAAAGATTTCCTACATGTGTTACTCCTGTATTCTTTGGAGTTGTTTTTTTTTTTTTTAACCACTTAGTAATTAACTCCATTATAGTCAATAATTCTTAATATGAACTTTTCCTGTTCAAGTTGCTACACAGTTTCTATTACTGATACATTACTCATCTCCATCTTAGGGGCTGCCTTGCCAGTGGACCACAATATATAAAAACATCTATTGGTCTTTGAATATCATGGGTATAAGAGAATTTCATTAAAAATCTTAATTCTTGGGATCCCTGGGTGGCGCAACGGTTTGGCGCCTGCCTTTGGCCCAGGGCATGATCCTGGAGACCCGGGATCGAATCCCACGTCGGGATTCTGGCACATGGAGCCTGCTTCTCCCTCTGCCTGTGTCTCTGCCTCTCTCTCTCTCCCTGTGTGACTATCATAAATAAAATAAAAAAAAATTTTAAAAATCTTAATTCTTAACCCAAAGTTAGGAATTATATTAGAATCTCAGATTTTAGGCACAGCCAATGGAAGAATATTTTGAGACTTGGAGGCGGCCTTTCCATCATATTTCATGACAGCCACAATTGACTGTCATTAAGGAAATGTACTATGCCATAGCTGAAAGCCCTACCATCATCCTCAACCCCAAATGGACTGCAACTCCTTACCTCTCTCATGGGTAGTCTGGGACTCCTGAGCCTCACTCTTGCACTGGTTCTCCCAGGGTTGGAGCTGTATACTCAGAGACTTCAGTGGTCCTATGGATGTCATTTCCTTCCAGATCATTCCTTGGCCATGAGCTGTGTCCTAGGAGTAATCAAGTACCAGCACTATGATTCTGAGGATACAGAAGGAAAAACCCTAGAATAACAGGGCAAGGCAGCTAGAGCCAGAAACTCATTCAGATGATTAGACAGAAAGCAACAGGACTAAAAGCCCCAGTGCCTTGATCCCAGTAGAAAAATAACCCAGAAGACAAAAATTTTTAACTGTTAGCCACAAGGCTGCTTATAATGGCTTCCCACATTAACATTAATAGGTAAAACAAGCAAACAAGCAAACAAAACACATACTTCTTACCTGTTGCCTTGGTTCATCAAGCTCTTTCTCCAGCTCCTCCAGCATAGTCACGGCTTCCTCTCCATTTTCAGGCTGGTACTCTCGAAGCCAGGCCTGCAGCTCCTCAGGCAGGATGGCCAGGAACTGCTCCAGCACCAGCAGCTCCAGGATCTGCTCCTTGGTATTCACCTCTGGCCTCAGCCACTGATGGCAAAGTTCCCGGAGCTGGCTCAGAGCCTCCCGGGGCCCAGCGGAATCAGAGTAGCCAAACTGCCTGAACTGCTGGCGGAAGGTCTCCAGGCTACAGGTGTTTCCCTGACGGCCAAAGTCCTGCCCCCAAATAGAATTCTCTTCTTCAACCTTCACAATTATAAGTCCTTCTGGTTCTTTTGGAGCATGGTAGGCCAGGGCTGTGGCTCTTCCTGACATTCTGGGAAGCAACAGTCTAAAAATGCTGCCCAGTGGAGTCAGGGAGGGAATGGTCTGTGTTTAAGAGATTCCTTCTGAATTCTGATTCTTCAGGGAACTCCTGAGATGGACAATGTTAATGTTACACAGGGGGGAAAATGTGCTTAGAATAAAAATGCAGGTTTTCGAAGATCAATTGCCAGAGAGTGTAGCACTGTAAAGAAAAGTGACTAAAAGGGAGCTCCCACATAAAACAATACATTAATAGATGATTCAAGATTTTTTTCAAGATCAGAAATAATAACTTAAGAATCACCAAAATCAGGGGCACCTGGGTGGCTCAACAGTTGAGTGTCTGCCTTTGGCTCAGGTCGTGATCCTGGGGTCCTGGGATCGAGTCCTGCATCGGGCTCCCCGCAGGGAGCCTGCCTCTCCCTCTGCCTATGTCTCTGCCTCTCTCTCTGTGTCTTTCATGAATGAATAAATACAATCTTTAAAAAAAGAGAGAAAAGAGTCATCAAAATCAACTCAACTTTAGAAATAATGTTAGGGTCAACATCAGGGATAATAGTGCTTCTGGATCATGGAAAGCATATCACTGTAGCAAAACACTGTAGTATATTATTCTCAGAATAATAATCACCATATTTTTAAGTACCTATTAGACAGCAACAGTAGCCAGATATTTAACATAAGTTTTATATGATTTCCCTAATAATTCCATAAGAACAATCATAATTACGCCTATTTCCAAATGAGGCTACTGAGATGCATAAGTTGACCAAAGAGACACAGCCTGTAAGCAGCAGAACCAGACTCTGCAACAAGACTATCAAGCTCTTTTATGCTCTGGGGGTCTCCCCCAAAGGGAATTTGCATTTAATAAACACCTATTATGAGCCAGGAACTTTACAAATACTATTTTATTGGGGCTTGGCAATAATACTATGAGGTAAGTATTATCATCCCCACTTTATTGATGAAGAAACTGAGATTTTTAAAAGTTAAGTAGGAGCACCTGGGTGGCTCAGTTGGTTAAGCATGTACCTTCAGCCTCATGTCATGATCTTGGAGTCCCGGCATCGAGCCCTGCATCAGGCTCCCTGCTCAACGAGGAGTCTGCTTCTCCCCCTGCTCCTTTACGCTCTCACTCTCAAATAAATAAATAAAGTATTTAGAAAAAAATGAAAGTTAAGTAATTTACCCATGGCCCCAATTTGGTAAATAGCAAAGTCAACGCATGAACCTAGAGTTGCCCAATTCTAAAGCACTTGTTTATTACAGAATGGGTTAACCCAGGACAATCTTGGTGGATACTACGTATTTTAAATGGTGGTGAAAATGTTAGGAAAGTGTCATAGAGAATGGCCAGAGTGAATGTACAAAGAATTCTTGACTTTAAGTCACAGGTTCTGAGAAAAGAAAAGAATGAATTCCTTCATTCATTATTTCAACAAATACTTGAGCTATGCGCTAGGCAGTGTACTGAACAGGATTCTGAGGATTAAAAGGTCTGTCCTCAAAGACTCCTTCATATGACAAAGTAACAAGTAAACCGGCAAATGCAGTGTGATAAATCCAAGGAGAGAGGGAAGCAGGCCAGGTGGCACAGAGAAAGACAACTAAGACCAGGGAGAACTGCCTGCGGAGAGGAGACATGTCAGCAGAGACTGATGAAAATGAGTCAGGTGAAGATGTAAAGTAAGGTCATTCAGGCAAAGACAACAGTGGGTAAGGAGAAGATGTGGCTGAATGAGGGAGCTGCACGTGGTTTAGGGAGGACAGACCAATGATTGCCACCTCTGGCTCAGAATCAGCCATGAAGCATGGACCCACAATAGACTGCCTGAGTCAGATCTCTGTGGGTGAGGCTTCAATAAGTAAGTACCCCAAATGCTTCTGATATGAAGCCATGGTTTAAAAGAAAAAAAAAAAAAGGCAGGTCAGAGCCTGGGACAGAGTTCAGGAATAGTGAGAAAGGAGGCACCTACTGAGGGATAGTAGGCCAAGGGTCTGAAAGCTTGTATTGCAGAGGTTGCATTTGATCCCCACAGCCATGAGAATGGCTGGAGGATCTGTCTGCCCACTCAGCAAGGGACATGAAGAAGAGACAGGAAGGGGTCTGTTGCAACCATTTGGGCAAGGAGGGCCTGAGGTATGGGAGCCAGAGATAAGGATGGGAGATTTGACAGGACTCAGGGACACATGGGCTAAGGGTTTGGAAGAAAGAGGAGTCAAAGATAGGTTTTCAGATGGTGCTGGTGACTGAAATGGTGGTGGTATCATTTCCTTAGTTATTTATGATAAAATTAGGTCTGAGATGCCTACAAAGCAGCATTTCCTAAATTATGTTTTTGCTATAAACACCTCAACACAGAGAAACTTGGGAATAATTTTCCTCTTAATTTTTTGGTACTTGAAAAATACTAAATATATTTCTTTAGTTCTATTATGTGACAATTGGTATTTAAGAAATCCCATAACAATGCAACATCAGATCTATGTGTCACTCTGCATATAGCATTTACCAAGGGCAGCATCACATTAACATGTGTGCTTTTATTTAGTGATCACTAGTCTATGTATGTCATGGATCTTCCCCCTTTAATTTCAATGTTTGTGATAATATTAAATTTTTATTATAAGTACTAATGCCAGGTGTCTCAGCAGTTAAGTGTTTGCCTTTGGCTCAGGGTGTGATCCTGGAGTCCTGGGATTGAGTGCCACATCAGGCTCCCTGCATGGAGCCTGCTTCTCCCTCTGCCTGTGTCTCTGCCTCTCTCTCTGTCTCTGTCATGAATAAGTAAAAAAAAAAAAAAAAAAATCTTAAAAAAATACATTAATGCCTCACCAACTTGTTTTCCATAGGTATGTGGCTGAAGGGAAGTATTTCATCATAAAGCGTTGTTTCTCTTCCTTCTTCCATTTCCTTGAGAGACCCACCCTCTTCTACATCAGAGTTCCATAGGTTAGCCCTTAAGTCTGGCACTGTCTTCACTGTCTCCCAGGCATCTCTACTCTGGGCCTCTCATCTGAGCACCAGCCCTATTTACCCACTGTTCCTCACTCCCACCTCATGAATTTCTCAAAGGGACCTTAAACAGCACATCAGTGATTCCTCCCACTCTAATTCTGCTCCTCCCCAATGGTCCCCTCTAGGGAAGTAGGAACATCCATCTGGCTGCACTTCTAGAAATCTGGAAACATCCCTAACACCTCTTTCCTGTATTTAATGCAAATTAAGTCCTACTGATTTTACTGCCTATCTCCAGAATCTGCCCTTCCATATCTCTCCATCAGCAACCAACCTGTCACACTATACAATTACACACAGTCTGCTCATATTGTAACCAGGGCAACCTTCTCAAATTGCAAATCTGATCCTGTTCCTCTGACCAGTTTTTAAAAAGCAAATGCAGAAACAAAATCAAAATCCTTAGCCAGTCTCTTTGATTGTACTCATCTCATTTTACAGATTCCTGAGCTGTGCCCCAGCCTGAGTCAGAAAGTCTCGTTTTATATTTGTAAAACATTCTGCAAGTGATTCTGATACAGGCAGGGTTGGGTCAGAGTCATCATAGACACAGTTAAAGAGAATTGTGTTCCTTTCAGAGCACTTGTCTCATTTTGTGAGTTTGTATACTTTAGTGGGACTATTGGGTTAATACCTATCTTCTCTGTGATTCAGCTATAAGTTACATCAACATTTTTGCTCACCATTTTCTATCATCCAATCCAATGCACAGAACAGAGGAGGTGCCATATATATGTATCTATATATATGGCATATATACATGTATCTATATATATATATACCTCATTTATATATATATATATATGAATACCACTATAATGAAAAAAAAAGTTTCCAAGAGGCAATGGTCAACACTATCAAATGCCTAATAAGGACTGAATGATGTTTCCATTGTTCTCATAGTGCAGAAAGATGACTTAGTTCACAGGACACCAGCTTTGGAGTTAAGTGACCCAACGGTTTGGAATCATAGTGCAGCCTCTTATTATCTTAATAGCTCTGTGATGACAGTCACCAACCAAATCTAATATTCTATTTCCTCTCCTAAAAAAGGGAGTTAATACTTTCATTGCACTGTTATTATAGGAATTGGAAGTAACATAAGACATCTTGAGTAGCGGTTAGTGTATTAAGCATGTCTTTTTATCCTGGTGTTTTGATATCTGGGCCTTGCTTACACTGGAGGGACTGTCCTTCCCAGAGCTAGCAGATTCCTAGAGATAATAAACTCACTTCCAAATGTGCTTTTCACATGCAAACCACCAACCCAAAGCCCACTCCCCACCACCTCTTGCACTGGGTTCTCACCTCCAGGGCCACCATTCCCCTGCACTAATCACCCATGGTCAGAAAATTAGTGTCAAACCAGGGAGCTTTTCTATGCCACAGAGCCCAAGGAAACTATTCAACCTAAGCCTGTTTACCCTGCCTCACCCAGTGCTTCCCACAGAAGCCACAGTCGAGGCTCCTGTTCACTTTCCCCTCACCTGGCCTCCTGACTGATCCTGTAATTTTGCCATGTGACCATGTGGGGCATGGCATACTTCCTCTTCTTGGAAACTATGAGTAACGAACTATCTTTTGAATGGCCATCATCTCCTGATGTGTTGGCTTCACCATGACTAACTTGGCCCAGAGCAAGTTCTCAATGCACGGTAGATATGGCGCAAGGGAAAGGCAAATTCCACATCACAAGGCATGAGTTATAGAATAGGCTTTATTGGGGAAACTTATCAGCTAGGGGTCGGTAAAAAAAGAGCACCGGTCCATTGAGTCTTCCATCATCCCCAAAAGGGAATTCTGGAGAGAGGTGCTGCAGTTTCAGGGAAGAAAGAGCTCCTTCTACCTTCTTATAGGTAAATGTGAGAAAGCAGCCTTGTCAGTGGGGGCCATAAGTTGACTGCTTGGGACCAGAATTGTGTTTCTAAGTGTCTGTGTTTACAGAGTTGTCTAGGGTACCCATGTGGAGGGCTGGAAGCACCGAGCTGAGATCCGGGCCTTCCCCCTGGGAGGAGGGGAGAGCCTGGTCCCAGCTAGCTCTCAGTCCAAGCAACCCAAGAACCCCCAGGGCACTTTTGGTCAAAACTGCTGGCTGCAGGATGGCTGTGATGATAATGTACCTGCATTGTTTGCTTACTTAATTGTAACAGAAAACACGGAGTTTTCACTGTGCAGCGGGGCACTGTCTCTACCTGTTCATCTTCACAGCACTTTAAGGTCTCAGTTCTACGGTCTTACTCAACAGAAGCTGAGAAATCAAACTTTGTCTCGGGCCCCACGGCTTGCAAGTGGTGTAGTCTGGCCTGTTCTCAAAGTGGTCTGACTCCAGAGTCCATACTCTCAGAGGCTGATGCCCTTCCACATCTGCCTTCCCAGCCAGACCAGTGGCCCTTTCCAGGAGGAGGAGGAGGAGGAGGTCCCGGGTGTGCTTCCACAGGTTTCTTTGGCCGTATTTACGGAATGCCTCCTCCGTGCAGGCACTGAGCCAAGAGTCCTAAAACAGGACCGTGTCCTTGCCGTTACAGAACTTAACCAATTTAGTAGGGAGGCAGACGTTAAACAGAAAAGGCCACATAAGGAGTCATGTCTGACTTAGTCGGGGTGAGAACTACAAAGGGGAACGTCGAAAGGGCTCTGAGGATCCAACCTAGACTGGGGAAGTCAGGACCGACAGCCCAGCGAGCTCTGACCGCCTAAGGGGTGGGAGGGAGGCTGCCCCAGTTCACCTCCGACTCCTCGGCCCCGCGGCGGGCACACAGGGGGCGCCCGCTAAGTGCTTGCGGCGGCCAGGGACGCCGGGGCGGTGGAGGAGCAGGCCTACGCGCAAAGGCGTGAAGGGACGCGCCGGCGGCCGGGCACAAGCGTCGAGGAGGCGCGGCCACCTGCGGGGGCCGCGGGCTCTGCCTGGGGGCGGGGATAGGCTGAGGCCGGACGGGGGCGGTTTGGGAAGCACCCGGGGCCGCGCTGCCGGACCGCCTCACTCACCCTTGGCTCGGCTGGCTGCCGGACGGACCCCAGGCGGGGAGCTGAAGGGCCTCGGGCCGCGCGCGCCGGAAGTGGGGGCGGGCGCGCCCCTCTAGGAAGCCCGGAGGACTGCGGCTCGGTGCCCGGCGCGCGGCGCGCGGCGCGGAGGCCTGGGAGGAGGGGTGCGGCGCCGGCGCGGAGGGCGGCTCTCCGGGCGGGCCCCGGTCGCGACAGCCCCGATTCTAAAGGGGTTGACAGGCGACGGAGAGAAGGGAAAAAAAAAAAAAAACAGAGATTAAGAAATATTTATAGGGATCCCTGGGTGGCGCAGTGGTTTGGCGCCTGCCTTTGGCCCAGGGCGCGATCCTGGAGACCCGGGATCGAACCCCACATCGGGCTCCCGGTGCATGGAGTCTGCTTCTCCCTCTGCCTGTGTCTCTGCCTCTCTCTCTCTCTGTGACTATCATAAATAAATAAAAATTTAAAAAAAAGAAATATTTATAGATAGATAGAGAGAGAGCATGTTTGGTGCAACTCCAAGGAGGTGAAAAGAGAACCCTCCCTCTGTAAACTCGGGGGAGAGAAGGGCGCGACCACAGTCGTGCAGCGCAAACACGCTGTCGCCGGCGGCGGGTCCAGAAGCTACCGGGGAGGAGTGCGTGGGGGCTGGGGAAGGGCCCGGCGCGGCTTGGCTGGGGTGCGAGGATCGGCCGCGCCGGCGTGGGCAGGGCAGTGCACGGCCGGGACCCGGACGGACCGAGTCCACGGTTTTCTCGCGGTCGAGGGTATGCTGGCGACTCAGCCCCGGCATCCCCGCTGGCCGAACCAGGCCGACCGATGCGGTGGGGTAGGGTTTGGAGACATTCAGATGCCAGGCTCTGGAATCAGAAGCGCCTTAGTAAGCACTGCAGGCCGTCTACATGCGACATGGCAAGGCTTGTACTTCGGAGCTGTATCTGACATACTGCGTAGAGGGGACTAAAGGGCAAAACAGATAAGAAAAAGAGGATGGGGTGGGGGGGGGAGGCACCTGGTGGCTCAGTGGTTGAGCGTCTGTCTGCCTTTGGCTCAGATCGTGATCCCAGGGTCCTGGGATAGAGTCCAGGATCAAGCTCCCTGCAGGGAGCCTGCTTCTCCTCTGTCCTCTGCCTGTGTCTCTGCCTCTCTCTCTCTCTCTTTCTCTCTCTCATGAATAAATAAAATCTTATTAAGAAATTACATCAAACATTAAAAAAGAAAAAGAGGACAGGCATTTAGAAATATGCACTTGTTAGGATTTGGTAGTATCTGAAAATAGGATTGAAGATGGAGAGGGGGAATGACATGGCCAAGAGAGTTCTTCTGGAAAATCCAGAGGAAATTCTAAAATACCAATGTTTAGGGGTGGAAGAGCAAGAACAGATAGAGAAGAGAAGCTGCTTGGAGGAGGAGAGCCCAGAGGTTCAAACATCCTAAAAGCCAAGAGAGTGTTTCAGGAGAGAGAACTGGAGGAGGTGAGAGCTAAGGTGATGCTGGAATTAAGGGGAGGGGTTGGGAGGGGAAAAGCTTGTGAGAGAGATGTTACCTGTGGAATGTACTTGCCAGGGGTAAGTGTAAGATAAGACACTGAAAAACAGATGATAATTCCTTCTGAGAAATGTGATCGTGCAAGAAGGGAATAAAAAGGACACTTGGTTGGACGAGGCAACAGGATTGAAAGGTATTTTGTTTTTCAAAGATACTAGACACCTAATTATATTTGTAGAAAAAAAAGGTAAACTGTGAGTTGGAAGAAAAATTGAAGATAGAAGAAAAGAGGAATACACAACTGATGGGGAGAAAATGAGACGGGATAGGTAGGTGGAGTTGTCTCAGAAAATAAAATGAAGCATTAGAATAAAAATGGTGCATTTTGGTCTGTGTTTTGATGCTGTCAATGCAGAACAGCCAAATAGTATTGGTTAGTAATCCTGATTCTGCAAGTAAATAAATGCACATACGATTTGCTGAATTTTCACAAACTGAACATACTCATATTATTCAAATGAAGAAACAGAACATTATCCATCTTCAGAAGTCTGCCTTGTGCTCTCTTCAACTCATCACCCTCCTCTAGCTACACTGATAGCCACTACACTGAACTTTGAACATGATAGGTTGGTCTTGCCTCTTTTTGTACTGTATATAATTGGAATACAATATGTACTCTTTTAAGTCAGGCTGAATTCAACATTGTGAAATCAACATTGTGAACATACTGTTTTGCATAGATGTACACTGTACATTTCCATTTCTAATATTACATTGTATGATTATACCAATATTCATTTACCATATTATTGACAAACATTATTGAAAGAGATATTTAAATCTCTAACCACATTAATTTATTTTGGGATGTTAAACCAACTTACTAGGATAAATTCCATTGAGTCATGGTATATAATCCTTTTTTATATATAAATGAAGTTAATTTTTTAAAAGATTTTATTTACTTGGGGGGGGGTGCAGAGGGAGAGGGAGAAGCATGCTCTCTGTTGAACAAGGAGCCCAATGTGGGGCTCAATCCCAGGATGCTGGGATCATGACCTGAGCCGGAGGTAGATGCTTAACACACTGAGCCACCCAGATGCCCCTATATTAATGAAGTTAATTTGCTAATGTTTTATTGAGGACTTTTATGTCTACATTGTTAGCAATATTGGTCTGGTCTGTAGTTTCTTTGTAATGTCTGTACAAAGTCTGTAATGTCTTTGTCTGATTTGGTATCAAAGTGATTACTTGCCCTTCTATTTTCTGGGAAAGATTGTAAAAGATTGGTAGTCTTTTTTTTTAATTTTTTATTTATTTATGATAGGCACACAGTGAGAGAGAGAGAGAGAGAGGCAGAGACACAGGCAGAGGGAGAAGCAGGCTCCATGCACCGGGAGCCCGATGTGGGATTCGATCCCGGGTCTCCAGGATCGCACCCTGGGCCAAAGGCAGGCGCCAAACCGCTGCGCCACCCAGGGATCCCCAAGACTGGTAGTCTTTTTGTTTAAGATTTTATTTATTTATTCAATAGAGACAGAGAGGCAGAGACATAGACAGAGAGAGAAGCAGGTCCCTGTGAGGAGCCCAATGTGGGACTCAATTCCGAGACCCAGGGATCACGACCTGAGCCAAAGGCAGATGCTCAATCACTGAGCCATTGAGGTGCCCCAAGACTGGTATTCTTTAACTGTTTGATAGCATTTACTAGTGAAGCCATCTGGGCCTGTGCTTTTCTTTGTTAGAAAGTTTTTCATTACTAATTCAACTTTACTTTTCATACATTTATTCACATTTTCTATTTCTTTTCTAGTCACTTCTGGTCATTTGTATATTTCAGGTAATTTGTCCATGACACTTATGTTGTGTAATATGTTGGCATGAAGTTATTTATAGTATTCCCTTATATTATTTTAAATTATTATAAGGTTGGTAGTGATGACCCCTCTTCTCTGCTTTTGTTCATCTCTCTTTTTCTTGGTTGGCCTATTAAAGGATTGTTGATTTTTGTTCATATTTTCAAATAACAAAACCTTGGTTTCATTGACATTTCTTTATTGTTCTTCCATTTTGTATTCCATTAATTACTACTCTAATCATTATTACTCCTTTCCTTCTGCTTTTTTGTTATTATTAAGTTTGGTGCCCATTTTCAGACTTCTTAAGGTGCAAATTTAGGTTTTTGATAAGAGATTTTTTTTCTAATACAGGCATTTTAAAGCTATAAATTTTCCTCTAAGCATTGCTCTGGTTGCATCCCATAAAATTTTTTATGTTACATTACATATTCATTCAGTTTAAAATATTTACTAATTTCTTTTGTGATTTCTTCTTTGAACTAGAAGTTATTTAGATATGGGCTGTTTAACTTCCAAATATTTGTAGAGTTCCCAAATTACTCTGTGGCTCAAAATGCCCACCAGCCAAAGGATGCCCCATCAGCCCCTCTCAGCTAAGGTGGGCTTGGTCTCTCAGCGCTTAGAAGCAGACTTGCCTCCAGGCACCCCATCTCCTGCCTTTTGAATCCCAGAAATCTGATAAGCTTCCTTCATCTTGTCCTGTCTCTGTCCAACTCAGGCCAAACTAGCAGTGTTTCTGGTGATACGACCTGATTCTCTAGAACCAGGCTGGTTGCCTGTGGATATCAAGGGGAGCCACACAATTACATGCAGAGGTCCTTCTCAGATCCTTCCTGGATCACCCCATTTCTAATTTCGGTTTTAGTTGAGAGAGTTGGTTGGGTGCATGCATCACACACTCAATCTCTTCACTAAAAAGTTGTCCAGTTACATTTGTGGCCTTGTCTCCAGAGCAAGGATAGGATGAGAAATTTTCCAAATTACTGATTCCTTTTTGCTTAACAGTTCCTTCCTCAATTTATCTCTTTCCTCTCACATTTTACTATAAGCATCAAGAAAAACCAGCCACATCTTTCATACTTTGCTTGGAAAGCTCCTCAACTAAATATTCCAAGCTTATCACTTACAAGTTCTATTTTCCATCCAATAGCAGAACATGATTCAGCCAAGTGTCTGCTACTTTACAAGTATAGCCTTTTCTTCAGCTTCCAATAATGTTTTCTTCATTTCTGTCTGATTACCTCACCAGTATATTTAATGCTCATTTTCTCTAGCAAAATTCTGTTCATAACAATATATGTGTTCTCTAAGATGACAGAAAAGTTCTCTACTCTCTTTTTCACTTCCTTCCAAGCCCGTGCCAGAGTCACCTTTAACATCCATATTTCTACCAACAATCTCTTCAAGGCAACCTAGGTATTTTCTGTCATGCACCTTAAAACCCTTCCAGGTCTTAGTCATTACCCCACTCCAAAGCCACATCAACATTTTTAGGTATTTGTTAAAGCAGCACCTCACTTCTGGCACCACGGAGTGGCTTAATACAACAGAAATTTATTCTCTCACAGCTTGGAGGTTACAAATCTAAAATCAAGATGTGGGCAGAACCATCCTCTTTCTGAAGGCTCTTATGTTCATAACTGTCTCCTAACTTCTGGTAGTTCCTGGCAGTCCTTGGTGTTCTTGGTCTTATAGATGCATCACTTTAATGACTCTACATTCACATGGTGTCCTCTCCTCTCCATGAGTGTCCTCTGTGTCTGAATTTACCTCTTCCTATAAAGACCCCGGTTGTTGTGTTAGAGCCCACCTTAATCCAGTTTGATCTTATCTTAACCTGATTGTATCTACAAAGACCCTATTTCCAAAAAAGTCACATTCACAGGTATCACAGGTTAGGACTTGAACATATCTTTTGGGAGGAACACAATTCAACCCACAACAATGATTCAGTATAGACCAAGAGTTGTTTAAACTTCTGTGAGTTGGTTTTGAAGTTGAAGACTTTTCAAACTGATACCGATGATCTCAGTGATTGAAAATAAAAGAAATGGTCTGATTTGAATTCAACTAGAGGTCTGGGCGAATTCTGGTGTTTCTGATACAAGCCTACTCATCTGTGTCAAAGTGAACCTTGGCAACTCTGATTACATTGGTTATTATTTTGCTTTCTAAATCTCAGTTTTCAGCACTTGTTCTATTTTTTAAAAGTCACAGTCAATTGGACATGCATATTAATATTTCAAAGATGTTAGATTGTCTGTAATTTAGATATACCATTCAAAATCAAACAGCAGGGATCCCTGGGTGGCGCAGCGGTTTGGCGCCTGCCTTTGGCCCAGGGCGAGATCCTGGAGACCCGGGATCGAATCCCACGTCGAGCTCCCGGTGCATGGAGCCTGCTTCTCCCTCTGCCTGTGTCTCTGCCTCTCTCTCTCTCCGCGTGTGTGACTATCATAAATAAAAAAAAAATTTATAAAAAACAAAACAAAACAAAATCAAACAGCAGCAGCCTGCTTGTTAGTATTTATTTGATCAAAAGGAAAGTTAATTTTTTCATTTCACTTCACAATTTGGATTTATTTCCCTTTTTTACTTGGATTGATTGAGATTGAGTTTTAGATTGAAATTCATTCTTTGTGAAGACTGATTATATGGTCTATCAAAAGAAATTAATTTTGAATACAATATAATACATGATAAGCAAAATTTCACATATATGTCTTTCCTCTAACTTCCTGAGGAAGAGATCTATAGTTTTTACTATATTCTCAAAGTAGTTATATTACCCAAAAAATATTAGAACCTATGCCTAAGTCATATGTTAGTTTGGCCTAGTTTCCCCTAAAAAGAAATGGAATAGGAAATAGAAATCAGGTAGAGTATTGGTGAGTGACCTATCAGTTTCATTCTTGAGAATCTCCTATCATTTCCCATGCCTGTATTATCACTCCTGATATCTCTGGAAACCTCTGAATTCCTTTTACCTTTCTGAGAGGAACCTCTTCAGTGTCAGCTGGTGTGGACCACAGCTGGGCCTAGGGTCGTGTTTTGGCTGATTGATCAAACGGTTAAGAGTCCAAGCTGGCTTCTCAGCCTCAGAAGGTAACATCTTTGGTGAGACTCCACAAAGCAACAAATCTAGCACAATCTGAAAAAAAAAAAAAAGTTTGATTTCCTTGTTAAACACTCAGAAAATCTATGTTCACATCATCACTTCCAGGTGAAAAGTTAATCTCTCACCTTTGTAAGTAAAAACTAACCTTTGGTTAACTTTCTCATTGTCTTTTACTGAACACCTGTTTAAGGCAGTATATCAGGGATACCTGGGGGGCTAAGTGGTTAAGCATCTGCCTTCTGCTCAGGGCGTGATCCCGTGATCCCGAGGTCCTGGGATTGAGCCCCCCATTGGGCACATTGCTCAGCAGGGAGCCAGCTTTTACCTCTCCCTCTGCCTGTTGCTCCCCCTGCTTGTGCTCGCTCTCACTATCAAATAAATAAACAAAATCTTTAAAAATTAAAAAAAAAACCTCATGAAGGAATAATCAAATTGTGTTACATATGCAGCTAATGGAATAGTATTCAGTAACAAAAAGCAGTGGACTACTCATACACACAGTGATGTAGATAAATCTCAAGATAATGCTTAATGAGGGAAGTTTGACCAAAAAAAGTGCATTCTGTATGATTCCATTTAAATAAATCTCTAAAACATGCAAACTATAGTAACAGAAAACAGAACAGTGGTTGGAGCTGTGGGAAGAGAAGGAGGAGATACGAAGGGTAGAAGAAAACTTCTGATTTGCTGGATGTGTTCAGTATTTCGATTGTGGTGATGGTTTCACAACTATATACACCTGTGACAAAACTTATCAAATTATATACTCTAGATATTTGTTATTATTGAATGTTCTATCACAGTGAAGCTGTTTTGTTTTTGTTTTAAAGTATCTGCACTCCATTCTTGGGAGGCTAAACCCAAACAAGTTCTTTAAAGGGATATTAGAGTCTCATTCATATATCCCTAAGATTTCATATACCAGAGGACAGTCTTGGGCTGAGACAGAAAGCCCTCTACTTCTACCTCAACCATCATTTCAGCTAGCCACCACTTTTTCAAACCTGTACTTCTTCCCAACATCTCACATGTCTCAATCTTTCTTCTTACTCCTCCCGTACTTCCCAAGATATTTGCAAGGACACAGCGTTATCCTTTCCTACCCCAGTTTTGCACTCTGCCCTCCAAATTTCAGGTCCTTCTCACCCTGATCCTTTAGCCACAATGAGGATTGTACTAGCAAGCAAACTTGAGTTTCTATTTTTTTAAATTTCTGATCTTGTCTTTATTAATTTCCTTTGTTCTACTGGTTTTGAGTTTTTGTTTGTTCTTCTTTTTCTAGCTCCTTTAAGTGTAAGTTTAGGTTGGTTTACTTGAGATTTTTCTTGCTCCTTAAAGTAGTCTGGTATTGCTATACACCTCCCTCTTAGAACAGCTTTTGCTGCATCCCAAAGAATTTTGGACGGTTGTGTTTTCATTTCCATTTGCCTCCATGTATTGTTTTTTTTTCTTAAGCAAGTTGTGTAGAAACAGACGCCTGTGGCCTCCCTTGGTAGTAAAGTACATCAAAATCCAGCTTCCAACTCAGGAATTAATTGCTGAGCATTATTTTTAGGGCGATGGTTCTCAAAGTGTGGTCCCAGAACCAACAGCAACAGTACCTGTGAACCTGAGCTCCCACCCCAGACCTACTGAGTGGTAAAATCTAGGGGTGAGGCCTGGTTAAAAAAAAAAAAAAAAAAAAAAAAGTTTTTTAACAAGTTGATTTGGAGGCGCACCACTGTTCTGCGTGGGGAGAGGGGGCGATCAGAGAGGACAGGAAGAAAGTTAGAATGGAAGCACACCAGCGAATAAAAAGAGGAGGCGGAGTAGGGATTTTTAAAGGGAGATACCAAGGCAGAACTCATTATGTGGTCAGGAAACCTATCCTGGCCCAGAGAGCTTTCCCGAGAGATGTTTCGACACTGATGTCAAGAACCCGCAGACAGGGCAGCAAGGGACCCCCGCTCGCGACAGCGCGGCTGGGTCAGGTAGCCACGCGGAGGTTCAGGGGTTAAACCCCCGCAACCCTCCCGCCGCCGCCACCTCGCGCGTGCGCCCTTGCAGAAGACCCCCCGCCCCCGCCCGCCCGCGCACCATAGAGCCGAGCAATCCTCCCAGTTTCCTAGAGCGGACGCGGCGATGGCGGGTTCGCAGCGTGGGCGGCTTGACAGCGACCTGGAGGACGCGGCGAGGTATGGGTGAGGTCGGGTCACGGGAGCCCGGGGGACTCGGGTGATCTCGCCTCCTAAGCTGCCTGGCGGCGCCGCCAGGGAGCCCGGTGTGGTTCCTCGAGCCCATGGAGAGCCCAGGCCGTCCGGGTCGCCCGCAGGCGCCGCTCCTGGGCACGGTGGGACCTTGGCCTAGTGCGTGTGCCTCGGGGACGCGGTCCGCGCCTGCGCGGCCCTGGGTTCAACCGAAGGCACCCCAGAAACTTTGGGGGCGTGCGGAATCAGGAAGGGGGATGCATCCACGCGGATCCGCACAGCCTGCCCGGAAAGAGCAGCCTGATGTGTGAGTGCTGGAAGAAGGGGAGGAGGGAAGGATCCTGATGGGGGTGATCTGTAGTGTCAGTTTGGTATAGGAGAGGCAGCGAACATTGTTGACCGCTGAAACAAAATTTTATGATTCTCTCCCCTGCCTGATCTTTCCAGTTCTGTCCTTATTTCAGTAACATTCTCTCTCTCTCTCTCTCTCTCTCTCTCTCTCTCTCTCACACACACACACACACACACACACACACACACACACACACACAATTATGTTTGAAGGTCTCTAGACTTGGGATGGAGAATACCGTTCCAAAAGGGTTAATGCCTGACTCCTGAATGATGAGGGAGGAAGCTTAATAAGTTCTGGGAGAGGGGCACCTGGGTGGCTGTGGTTGAGCGTGTGCCTTTGGCTCAGGTCCTGGGATGGAGTCCGGCATAGGTCTCCCCGCAGGGAGCCTGCTTTTTCCTCTGCCTGTGTGTGTCTCTTTCTCTCTGTGTCTCTCAGGATAAGATTAAAATAAATAAAATAAAATAAAATAAAATAAAATAAAATAATAAAATAAAAAAATTAAATAAAATAAATAAATAAAATAAATAAAATAAATTGGGGGGGGAGAAAAACCACGTGGAAATTAAATGAGATTTTGTTTTCTTCTTCATTTCTTTTATGTCTAGAGGGTGTTTCTGGTGGTCTAGTCTCAGAAATTATATCTCCAGTCTCCACAATGATCCCCTTCCAAGCCCCGTGGTGCCCTGTTGCCTCCAGGTTTCAGACTCCTAGACTGGACGAGAAAAGCTTACTAAGGAAATGGTAATTCTCCAGTTGCTCCCTGAGGTGTCAGGTGTCCAGTTGCAGCCCATGGAGATCCACTTCAATCATGAATCTCAAGAACACCATCCTCTGTCAGGTGAGAAGCAGTGTATTATATATCTCTTAGGGATTTCAGGTGGGTGAGGAGGGTTGTTACTGGTGCTATGTTAGTATCTACAAGTGCTTTTGGTATTCTTCATTCCCTACCCCTCACTCTATTAGGCAGTACTATCACTGTAGTGCTGGAAGCACAGTCACATAGCTTTATTGTGAGTTCTGGCAATCAAATTCTCATGGAGTTCCCTCATCTCCTTAAATCCCAGCTATCCAATTTTCCCATTATAATCACCTTATCACCAGTCTGTCAGTATTTGATGTTTTCCCTTTAAAATCTTTTCAGGTCATCTTTTTCATGTACTGTAGGGGCATAGTTAAAAGTTTTGGAGTCTGACACTCTAGATTCAAATACTAGCTTTGTCATATGCTAGCTTTTCAGTAAATTACTTGTGTTTTCCCCCTAATGATTCTTTCCTCATTTTATAAGTATATAATAACTTACATCTTGGGGGTTATTTTGAGGATTGGTCTATTACTCCATATAATAAAGGATCCCAAAATTTAGTGACCTAAAATGTCAGACATTTTAAAATCATGTTATTTTCTTATGGTTCTGTAGGCTGAGTTCAGCTGGCAGTTTTTTTCTCCTGGTTTTGTCTGGGATCACTCATACAGTCAACTAGGGCCAGGGTTTGAGTATCAGTCATTTATGTCTGGCTCGCGGTGCTGGCTGTGGCTTGGGTCGTGTGTCTGCAGCAGACTAGCCCAGACTTTTTCACAGGGCAGCCAGTTCCTCATACAGAGAGAGGGCAAGCCTTGGAATGCATAAGCACTTTTCTAATCTGTGTTTGTGTTATACTGACCAAAGCAAATCGCATGACCAGTTAGTTATTGTGGAAGAGAACTACACAAGGATATAGATATTTAGAGAGAGAATTTGTTGGTATCCTTTACTACTATAAGGAACACTACCGGCACTAATGATGCTCCAGTATATATAAAGCTCTGCACACAGACCGGGCTGTTAGTAAATTCTTTATAAATGGTAGCCACTGTTATTTTTAGTAAGATAATTTTTAATCCTAACTTTGTTCGTGTGTCCTGCAGGGTCTTATTTCCACATCATATTTTGCTGCTTTCTGAATTTGGTCCTCCCATTTCTATTTTGCCTGTGAAATTCACCTTCCATTGTCACTTTTTTTTAACTGTAGATTTTCTGCCTCTTTATAGTTTTGAAGTATCCTTACTTTCTTTTGTTTCTCTTTTCTGTATTTAGAACTTGGCTTTCCTTAAGAATCTATTCTGAGGCATCTAGCTCTCATTTTTCCTGAGAGTCACTGTAGAATTGGGTCTCCTTGCAGTTTTACATAAATTACTATGCGTATTGCATGTGTTTATGTCTCTCAGAGTGTGTGTAAAATATTTTTTTACTATAGGGTAATTTGTACTAAAATGCATGTATAAAATACAGAAAGGCACAAAATAGAAAATTTAAATGACCTACAATTCCACCATTCAAAGATAGTCACTGCCAACACAAATGTATGTGTCAAATAATTTGATTAACTATTCAACAGTACTTTTTGTTGATAAATGTTTATTAATCAGATCATAGCTTATTAATTATTGCTAACCATATAATATGATTAGTTATTGAGGGGTTACTCTATGCTGGGCACAGTTCTAAGTGCTGAGTATATAGGAGTGAACTGAACAGATAAGCCTTTACCCTCAAGGAGCTTATATTCTGGTGGGGGAAACAGTATGTAAATAAACATATGGTAAAGTATCAGTTACCTTTGGATTATCATGTTCCCAACACAGCAGAAAAACAGTCCCTTACACTACCATTTCTTTGCAGATTGACTTGTAATTAAATAATACTCCCACCTGAAACAAAACTTCACTGCTGCTGGTGCTCTAGGTATAAGGTAGTGAGGAAAACGGGGGAGGGCCATAATTAACTTAAAATAACTGCTACAGTTTTTGCTATACACAAAGCCAAAACTGACAATCATAACTGTCTTCTTCCATCACCCATTTCATATTGTCTCTACCCTCTGCCAGGATCTCAGCTGTGGAGTTCTTTACCTAGTTTAGTAATATAAACCTTTTTTCCTGAATGATTGGAGTCCTTGATAATCCTGTCTCTTCCACATTACTTCAGTGTACCATTGACTAGACCTTTTAGACATGAGAAAACTAGGAAGCACTCCCATTGAATCCTGAGTTCTAGACCTATTATTCCTTTCCCTAATTATGTAACAGGAGCCAGTTGTCCAGTAGCATTTGGTATTGGTCATCCTAGCCAGTAGAGTGACCCTTTCTCTGCTTGTTGGTGTAGCAGCATGAGGAACCCAAAATGGCCTTCATTCTTCATTCCCTACCCCTCACTCTATTAGGCAGTACTATCACTGTAGTGCTGGAAGCACAGTCACATAGCTTTATTGTGAGTTCTGGCAATCAAATTCAAAATCGTGCCTTTGTTCCATGATAGAAGTATTTCTCCTTTGAGAACCAGAACCCAAACGCACCAAGCCCAAGGTTATGGGGATAGGAATTAAAAATATAGGGGCACCTAGGTGGCTCACGCTCTTGATTTCGGCTCAGATCATGATCTCAGGGCCATGGGATTGAGGCTCCCCACTCGGTGTGGAGTCTGCTTGAGACTCTCTCTTCTCCTTCCCCCTCCCCCTTGAGTGCATGCTCTCTCTCTCTCTCTCTCTCTCTCAAATAAGTAAATAAGTCTTTAAAATTAATAGTAATTATTATTATGGATTATTATATAGTAAAAAGAAACATTATTACTACCCCCCACCCCCACCCTTGGCTCCTATACCCATGTATTCTGGCCATAGAAAAGAGAACACTGTTTATTGTCCTCTGGCTTAAAGCATATATTGCATCCTATAAGACAGCATCCCAAACTTAGGGTATTGTTGCCTGGCTAGTACTGTTAACTGAGTCTCAGGAAATCATTCCTCTATTATTAAAATCCACATTCTTCTGGGTGATGGGACATGTGGTAAGACCCATGAATTATATGTGTATTAACTTATTGCTGTACTTCCTTCCCTGTGAAACTATTCCTTTGGAGGCAATGTTGTATGGAATTACCATGGTAATAAATACAACATTCTCTTTGGTCAGTACATATTTATATCTGGATTATATATTTAATCCTTTGAAAACAAATTGTTGCCCTCTACATGATAGAAGGGGTCAAGTATAATGAATCTGCACCCTAGTTCCTGGCTAGTTCTTTCCTGGGAGTGGTACCGTCCATATTCAGGGTTTGGTGTTGATCCCAGCAATTGGCTACCTGGGCATATAGCTATGATGATAGGCATATCAGCCTGTAAGCAAAGTATTGTTGACCCTATGCATAGCCTCCATTGAGCAAACATTAGTTAAGAGGCTGACTGACATTGATAACATAGATCACCATGTCTGTCTGATTGAGAAGCTTCTTTACAGTGGATGCCCTTTGGTGAGTATTCACACAGTACACAAATATATTTATTCTTTACCCATTCTAGGAGGTCTGTCCTCATAATTTTCTTCAGAATCCTTATTTCTAGTCTTCCAATCTTGTTCTTTGAGATACCTAACTAATCAGATAACCCATTAGTCACTATCCATGAATCAATATAGACATGTATCTTAGGCGGTGTTGCCTTCCATGAAAATGGACAGCCAGGTATATACCTGAAATTCTCCCCATTGGGAGGATTTGTCTTTACCAGTATGTTTCAGATCACTCCAGAGTCAGGGTATAAGTAAAAGATTCATTTTCCGCTAGTGTCCACCTATTGGGCAGGCCCATATAAACCAATTCTGTGTTTTTTCCTCTTGTTAACTGGTAAGAGGGAATTACCATTAGGCCATGAATATAGGCTAAGGGAGAAAGGATAGTGGAGCAATAGAAAAAGGTATGCCAACCCAAATTATTAGCACATGGAATTTATTGTGTTCCAGGCTTGCTTTTATAATGGAATGCTGGTTTATATGTCCACTTTCATGATTTATGATCAGATAGGTGGTTCACAATAGTCAGTTTGTAATAGTCATTTGGTACTCTGTAGTCAAGCCTTAAGTCTCTAGTAGTACCCAAGGGCAAACCAGGGTCTGCTTTTCACTTAGAAAATTGTTGGCAGAAGAGAGTATGGCATTAATCCACTGTAGGTCTCTTCTAGAGGCTTGCAAGAGGCTTAATACAATATCCCTGACTCTGCAGACACTTCTAAAGCCATTGGTTATCCTGGATAATATAGTCATGTGACAGGACAGCTTGCATTGCAACCTGGACCTCTGCAGAGCCCTTTTTTACTCTTGAGTCTCACTCAAAAATAACAACCTTATGAGTTACTCATATTGGTCATTTTGGCACATTTGACTGAGATATCTATTGCCTCAAAATACAGGGCTCACCAAGTATTGTGCCTTTCTGAGGTGGTAACAGCTGGTTAGAGATATAAGAGAAGTGAGAGAAAAAGTTATATGACTGAGAGAAGAGTGTCTTAGGCATAGGGAATCGCAAAAGCCAGAGGCCCCTTGATGTAATGGAAATAGAGTCAGTCTGGGGTAGACAGGAAATAGGGCTGGTGGTGGAATGAAATGAGAACACAGAGAGAAAGGACCAGATGGAACCTTCTGAGCCATACTAAGGACATGGACTTTATTTCCAGTGTAATAGGAAACCGTTGGAGCATTTATGCATGATAACATATAAAAACAAATCTATTGCATGGAGAATAGGAGAAGGTAAGTTAGCAAGAAGAAAACAAATGTTTTGAGAAGAGAGTAATCTACTGTGTCAGATAAATAAAGAGTAAGATTGAGAACTGACCGCTGGATTTGTCAAGATAAAGCTTAGGAATTCTAATAAATTCCATCAGTTTTGATGAAGTTAAAAGAGATAAAAGCCTGATTACAATGTGTTAAAAAAATAAAAGACTTAATATTGGTTAGCATATAGAGCAGTGTGAACTCATACACTCAACAATAAAACCCAACAATTCTGATCCTAGGTTTATGTAACCTGGAGAAACACTTGGATATGTGCTTCGAGATAAATGTACCAGCAGATTGATATCAGTGTTGTCTCCTTGAAGGAGAATGGGTAAATAAACTGTGCTGTATGTCACACTATAGTGGTAAACATGAATAGACTGTAGTTACATGCATGAATATCTCCAAACATAATGTTGAGCAAAAAAAAGCAAATCACAGAATACACATGATATAATTCCATAAATGTATACAATTAAAAAACATGCTCTATTTGTCTGATAGGGCTGCCATAACAAAGTATCACAGATTGGGCAGCTTAAACAACACAAATTTATTTTCTCAGCTCTATACATTAACTTTCATCATCTACACTTTGTTTTCTTCTAGAAGTTTTATAGTTTTAATGTTTAGGTTTATATTACATTTCTAGTTAATTTTTGTGTGTAGCATAAGGAAAGAGGGTTAATTTATGTTATTGTTATATTCAGTTCTAACGCTTTCTATTGACAAAAGACTGTCCTTTCACCATTGAATTATCTTGGCAACTTTGTTGACAATTAGTTTTACACATATGTTTGGATCTATGTATGGTTTTAGTCTTACTCCATTAATAGATACATCTGTCCTTATGCAGTCCCACACTGCTTTGATTACTAGAGCCTGATAATAAAGCTTAAAATCAGATTATGTAACTTCTCCAATTTTGTTCTTCTTTTCCAAAATTATTTAGACTCTTCCATGCCTTTCTACATAAAGTTTATAATCAGTTTGCCAATTTTTTAAAAAGATTTATTTATTTATTTATGATAGACATGGGTGGGGGGCAGAGAAACAGGAGGAAGGAGAAGCAGGCTCCATGTCGGGAGCCCGACGTGGGACTCGATCCTGGAACTCCAGGATCGCGCCCTTGGCCAAAAGCAGGCGCCAAACCACTGAGCCACCCAGGGATCCCCAGTTTGCCAATTTTTATGAAAAGACTGCTTACAGTTTTGATTGCAGTTGTATTAAATCTATAGATCAGTTTGGGAAGAATTTTATCATCTTAATGATATTAAATCTTCATAAGTGATGGCATGTATTTCTGTTTATTGGATCTTTAACTTCCCTCAGCAGTGTTTTATAGTTTTCATTGTAAAGATATTTTACACGTATTTTGTTGAATATGTTTTTAAATTTTTCATTTTTGGTGTAATTGTAAATATAATTATAAAATATAAAAATGTTTTGTAATTTTAGACTCTAATTGTTCATGGCTAGTATACTGAAATACAGTTGGGTTTTGTATATTACTCATGTACAAGGTCTAATAACTTTTTTGAGACACTTTAGAATTTTTTTTTTTTTTAGAATTTTCTATATATGTGATTGTGCAGCTTATAAGTAGACACTTGACTTTTTTCTTATTTGTATCTCTCAATTGTTTTTCATGTCTTGTTACATTGGCTAGTAATATTGGGTAGTCGTTGTATGGTATTAAATCAAAGTGGTAAGAGAGGGCATCCTTGTTTTGCTCCCATGTTCCTAGGAGAAAAACATTCAGTGTTTAACCATGAAGTATGTTAGATGTTGCCTTTCCTTTGCTTTTTATTGGAGTAATTTACATACAACATAGTTGATGCTTGGATTTATATGTACTGTCTTCAGGGATCCCTGGGTGGCTCAGCAGTTTAGCGCCTGCCTTTGGCCCAGGGCACGATCCTGGAGTCCCGGGATCGAGACCCACATCAGGCTCCTGGCATGGAGCCTGCTTCTCCCTCTGCCTGTGTCTCTGCCTCTCTCTCTCTCTCTCTCTATGTCTATCATGAATAAATAAATAAATCTTATATCTATATCTATATATATATATATGTATGTATGTATGTACTGTCTTATCTGTTTTTATTTATCCTATCTTTTGTTTCTTTTTTTCCTTTTATCCTCAATTTTACATTATCAGGTTCTTTTGTTTTAACATTTTTTTCTCTATTAGCTTATTGCTTACACATTCTTTTATTGTTATTAAGCAATAAACTGCTATGAGGTATTATTACCTCATAAGTTTATTATCTCATAAGTAATAATATCTCATAGCAGCCTTTTTCAGATGTGATTCTGTGAGAAATTAAGCCCCAGTACTCTAAAGCATTCATTGTAATTAATGTATTAATGTTTCTCCTATACATCTATTATGGTACTGTCTGTGTACATCTTTGGGACAATTAAGAAAATGGTCATTCAGATCATTTTGTTTTATTTTCCTATAGATCCCTGGTTGAAAAAGGCTGCCTAAGAAATTACAACATAGGGCAGCCCAGGAGGCTCAGTGGTTTGGCGCCACCTTCAACCCGGGGTGTGGTCCTGGAGACTTGGGATCGAGTCCCACATCTGGCTCCTTGCATGGAGCCTGCTTCTCCCTCTGCCTGTGTCTCTACCTCTCTCTCTTTGTCTCTCATGAATAAATTAATTAAATCTTTTAAAAAAAAGAAATCACAACATAAAAATTTGATTCATTACAGTTTATCTTAATTTATTATTTCTAGGACAGTCCAAAGGTCTTATAGTGTTTTAGCTCTATTCACCTCCCTTCACCTGTGCTATCTTTGCCAGGTATTTTAATTCTCTCTATATTGTAAATTCCATAAGACATTCATAGTGCTTCAATCAGTCAGTACACATCTAGATTTACCCATATACTTCACTTTTTCCAATGCCTTTGCCTCTGACAAAGAGAAGAAGCCTCTACTTGGAGGCATGAGGTTGGTTGTTTTTGTTTTTGTTTTTTTGCCCTTGAAATTAATATGACACGTTTTTAGCTATGTAGACCATTTGCAGTCTGACCATGGCATGCCTTTTATAGTCAACACCATTTAACAGTGGACTGATAGTAAAAAATTTCAGTGGAGCTCCCTACTATCATACCTCCATACCATGTTCCCTACCATCACAGCTCCATACCATGTTCCCTACCATCATAGGCATCTGGTATTGTTAAGCATGGGAATGGCCTCTTCAAAACTCAGCTCAGAAGAGATTTCTGATCCCACCTCCCTAACCTTTTCCTGATTATTGAATATGGCTTTTTCTAAAATGGGATCATATCTTCTTAGCCACTTCCTTGTAATCAGGACAAAAGAGGTGGGAGATTATATAGACCTATTTTTGAAAATTCAGAATTCTGTCATGACCATTCCTGGACATGGATACTTCTTTCCCCTAATAGTAGCCTCTGATCAACCTGGATGGTGGTCCTCCCAGTGACAGCCAGGATGCTCCTGCCGCCTCCTCCTTTCCCTCCTCCCCTCTCCTTCAAGTACTCTTTCACATTGCTTACCTTACTGATGTTAATAAATTGCTTGTGTGTTAGCTTTAATTTAGTCAAACTTTTATAATTACTATGACCAGGTTTCAATACTCCCAGATCTCCTGTGACAAACATACATAGAACATATCTGGTAAGCTGCTTCACTAAATGATTATTATGACCCATTACTTATTGATTCTTTCTAATTGCTGTTTTGGGAGATAATTTTCAGTGTTTTGGAGCCCTGTCATATTGTGATGGCATTTTATAGGTAAATACTGATCTGTTTCACCTCAGACTTTCTTACGGTATAGAGAATACATTCCATTTGGATTTTATTGTTCTAGACGGTGAGACTAAGACCAAGATTGGAGAGATGGCTTCAGAGGAGGAAATTACAACAAAAATCAAACCATTGCCTGAAGAGTCTGGCAACCCTACAGATGATGTTCTCCAGGATTCTGAATGCGGAGGATTCTGTGAATTTGGGGATAAATTAAATGAGAAGGATCATAAAGTCTTTAAAAGAAAACAACATAACTGTGATGAATGTGGGCAAAGCTTCGCTTGGAGTACAGGCCTTATTAGACATCGAAGAACCCATTGGGAGAAACCCTATGAATGTGACAAGTGTGGAAAGGCCTTTAGTGTGAGCTCAGCTCTAGTTCTGCATCAGAGAATTCATACTGGGGAGAAACCCTATCCTTGTACTTGGTGCATTAAAAGCTTCAGTCGGAGCTCAGACCTTATTAAGCATCAAAGAGTCCATACTGGTGAAAAACCTTATAAATGTGATGAATGTGGGAAAGCCTTCAGCCAGAGTTCTGATCTTATTATCCATCAGAGGATCCATACAGGAGAAAAACCCTATCAGTGTAGTCATTGTAGTAAAAGCTTTAGCCAGCGCTCAGACCTGGTTAAGCATCAGAGAATCCATACTGGAGAGAAGCCTTATACATGTAACCAGTGTAACAAACATTTTAGCCAGAGTTCTGATGTTATAAAACATCAAAGAATCCACACTGGGGAGAAACCATATAAATGTGACGTGTGTGGAAAAGCCTTTAGTCAGAGCTCAGATCTTATTCTGCACCAGAGAATTCACACGGGGGAGAAACCCTATCCCTGTAATCAGTGCAGCAAAAGTTTCAGTCAGAACTCAGACCTTATTAAACATCGAAGGATCCACACTGGAGAGAAACCCTACAAGTGTAACGAATGTGGTAAAGCTTTTAATCAAAGCTCAGTCCTTATTCTGCATCAGAGAATTCACACTGGAGAGAAACCCTATCCCTGTAATCAGTGTAGCAAAACCTTCAGTAGGCTTTCAGATCTTATGAATCATCAGCGAATTCATACTGGAGAGAAACCTTACCCCTGTAGCCAGTGCAGTAAAATGTTTAGTCGAAGATCAGACCTTGTTAAGCATCATAGAATTCATACAGGTGAGAAGCCCTATGAATGTGATGAGTGTGGGAAAACATTTAGTCAGAGCTCGAATCTTATCCTGCATCAGAGAATCCACACTGGAGAGAAACCCTATCCATGTAGCGATTGTACTAAAAGTTTTAGTCGTCGTTCAGACCTTGTTAAACATCAAAGAATCCACACTGGAGAGAAGCCATATGCATGTGACCAGTGCAAGAAAAGTTTTAGTCAAAGCTCAGACCTCACTAAACATCAGAGAGTACACTCTGGGGAAAAGCCCTATCATTGTGATCATTGTGAGAAAGCCTTCAGTCAGAGTTCTGACCTTATTCTTCATCAGAGAGTTCACACTGGAGAGAAACCATACCCATGCACACAGTGCAGCAAAAGCTTCAGCCAGAACTCAGACCTTATCAAACACCAGAGAATCCACACTGGGGAGAAACCATATAAATGTCCTGAATGTGGAAAGGCTTTTAGCCAGTGTTCAGCTCTTATCCTCCATCAGAGGATCCACACTGGTGAAAAGCCATATTCATGTGATCTGTGTGACAAAAGCTTTAGTCGGCGCTCTGATCTCATTAACCATCAAAGAATCCACGCTGGTGAGAAGCCATATCAGTGTGATATGTGTGGGAAAGCTTTCAGCACGTGCACAGAAGTTATTGAACACCAGGGAATCCACACTGGGGAGAGACCTCACAGGTGTGTTCAGTGCAGCAGAAGTTTTGGCCAACTCTCTGATCTTATTAATCATGAGATAGTTCATTCTGGGGAAGACAGTCTAAGTGTGGGAAATGTGGGAAAACTTTCTGAGTATTCATCGACTTTATTCAGTACCAGAGACACTATACCAGAAAAAAATCTTAGGAATACTATTGATGATTATGAAAAAGGTTTTAATCAGTGCTCAACTCTTACGCTACATTAAAAACACACACTGAAGAAAACATTAATTTCTACAGTGAAAGTTTAACTGAGAGCTCAGACATTACTAAAAAAAAAAAAAGGTCTGAGGAAGAGTCCTGTGATTAACAGGGAAAAAAAAGTATTCCATGTGAATAAAAGTATTACTAAATGTCAACAACAGTGGAAAGAAATTTCTGTCTGCTATAATGTAAAAGAAAACAACAAACCTCTAGTCTTTTAATCAAATATAATTCACAAGGGGAGTTTTATCATTATAAAAAATGAATAAAATATTAATGCAGAACCTTATCAGATATTGTAAAAATCAGTGTGATGGGGTGTGCAATCAGCTCAAAAGGAAATGTATTATAATCGCAAACCTTTCGTGAGCCCTAATTATTGTATATCAAAGAAGTTACATTAGAGAATGTAGGGAAAACTTAAATCTCTTCCATATCTTAATTGGCATTCACTCTTAATCAGCATGCCTCATGGGAGAAGTATGGACTCCAGTGGGAGAGTCCTACCTTGTGCTCACATTAGTTATCTGTCATTAAATTCCCTGTGTGTGAACATGCTATGCTATTCTGGTCTTAAGCTTATTGACTACATAACTCCAGTGCCCGATTTTCTCAGAAAGAAAATTTCTTTTTCTTTGGCCTAGTTTTGGTTTTCTTAAGGAAAACTGAACATGAGTTTTCAGGTTCCTGCAATAGCCAAAGCAAGTATGGACTTACTTTGCTTTCAGTTATGCAGCCCATAGACTAGTGCTTTGAAATCACTTCTTCAAAACTACCAGAGTTCCTAAATATATGAAACAATTTTTTAAAAAAAGAATTCCATATGTCAAAGTTTGAAGATTTCTCTACCACTGTGTTTATCTTGTCATTTATCAATTGAACAAAAATGAGAGCTAAAGTAATGCCTATGATGAATTTGTATAGCATATTCTGTCTAAAAATAAAATGATTTACTGATTTTTTCAAGTCATAACAATTATCAGAGTTTGTTTTGTTGATTTCTGATATACATATTGATAATAGGCTACATATATGCAAAATTTTTCAACTGAAAATTAGAAACTTATTTTTTAAAAATTTCAAATTGTTTTTCTAATATGAACCATTTGTTAAGATTCCACTACTGTCCTTTACTTTGAATATTCCCCATAATCATCCAGTTAATATTTCAATTTAAGACATTGTTATTGGGGCACCAGGGTGGCTCAGTTGGTTAGGCATCTGCCTTGCGCTCAGATCATGACCCCAGGGTCCTGGTATCAAGCTATGCACCAGGCTCCCTGCTCAGCGGGGAATTGTCTTCTCCTTCTCCTCCTGCCCCTGATCCCTCCTTGTGCTCTCTCAAATAAAAAGTATTTTTTTTTTAAAAACCCACATTGTTATTTACTATGTGCAAGGTATTTTTTGTTTTGGTTTGGTTTTGTAGTATACACAAGGAATATACAAAGCATATATGATAAAGCTCAATGTGTACAGAAAATATGGCTCAGTATAATCAGAGGTAGACAAGATGCTTATAAGAGCTCAGAGTAGGTAGGGTTCAATTTTGATTGGAAAGAAAAGGGAGGGGCACCTGGGCTGCTCAGTGGTTGAGTATCTGCTCTGGGCTGTTTGTGATCCCGGGATCCTGGGATCAAGTCCTGCATTAGGCTCACCACAGGGAGCCCACTTCTCCCTCTGCCTATGTCTCTGCCTCTCTCTGTGTGCCTCATGAGTAAATAAATAAAATCTTTTAAAAAGGGGGGGGGTGGTTTGGGTTGCTCCTGAGATTTGAGTTTTGAAGGATGGGATTAGGGGCATATGGCAGGAAGGGAATAGTCAATAAAGGCACAGAAGCCAGGAAGTATGATATGGAGTATGTGCTTAGTTATTAAATACACATTCAGGGGGATCCCTGGGTGGCTCAACGGTTCAGCACCTGCCTTTGGCCCAGGGGGTGATCCTGGAGTCCCGAGATCGAGTCCCGCGTCGGGCTCCCGGCATGGAGCCTGCTTCTCCCTCTGCCTGTGTCTCTGCCTCTCTCTTTCTCTCTCTTTCTGTGTGTGTGTGTATCATGAATAATTAAAATCTTTATAAATACATACATACATACATACATACACAGACACATATATACATACACATTCAGTGTCAGGCATTACTGAGTGCTTCTCAAGAGGATAAAGGAGTTCCTGCCATTCTGCTCAAGTGTTTTTGAAAATAGTGACTTAAAAAGAAAAATAGTGATTAAAACATGTACTTACAAGAGTAAGAATAAGATGGAAATAAAAATGAAGAAGAAAAAACTGTTAAGGTGTATGATGCTACACAAGCAGGCACTTCAACTTTCTGACATTTAGTATCATAAAATATAGGGATCCCTGGGTGGCTCAGCGGTTTAGCACCCGCCTTTGGCCCAGGGTGTGATCCTGGAGTCCCGGGATCGTGTCCCACGTCCGGCTCCCAGCATGGAGCCTGCTTCTCCCTCTGCCTGTGTCTCTGCCTCTCTCTTTCTCTCTATGTCTATCATGAATAAATAAAATCTTAAAAAATAAAAATAAAAAGTATCAAAATAGAAAAGTATTAGTTATGATTGGGTTAAGTTTCATACTTCTGCATTTTGTTCTCAAGGTAATGGGAAGCCATTGAAGGTCTTTGAACCAAGGAATGGCATGATCATCTTGCTTCCTTCAGAAGAGTACAACTAAAAGGGGAAAGAGCAAAAAAAAATATTTTAGGGACGCCTGGGTGGCTCAGTGGTTGAATGTCTGCCTTCAGCTTGGGGTGTCATCCTGGGGTTCTGGGATCAAGTCCCACATCGGGCTCCCTGCGTAGAGCCTGCTTCTCCCTCTGCCTATGCCTCTGCCTCTTTCTGTCTCTGTGTGTCTCTCATGAATAAATTAAAAATCTATAAAAAAATTATTTCAGAAGTCTGGAAATAAAAGCCTGATGGTCACAAGTAGAGGAGCTAAAAGGCATTGACATGACAAGAAGTTGTAAAGGGAGTAGGAAATAAAGTACAATTAATTAGCGTCTGTTCTTTGAGGAATTTAAAAAGTGAAGAAGAAAAATAGGATGATGAAATTTATATCTGAAGTTGACCCCTCTCTCCTGACAACAAACTTTAAAAGCCAACTGCTTACTACATTCTTTAACCTAGTGTCATGAACTTAACCCACATGCTTCTTCCTGAATTTCCTATCTGGTGAATTGCACTGCTAAACACTTTGCCATACAGATGAAATCACTGGTAACCACCCTGCATTCCATTTTCAGCAGTTTTCTAAATCCAGTTGCTCACTAGGTCTTCAAAATGAGTTATTAAAATAACACTACTTATATAAGTGTAATTTTAAAAGTCTGACAATAACAAATATTGAGAAGGATATGGAATCCTTCATACATTGTTGGTGGGGATGTAAAATGTTGCAACCACTTGGAAGTTCGGCTGTTTGCTGATGGGTGTAGGATATCTTTTTGGAGTGTAGGAAATGCTCTGGAATTCGTGGTGATGGCTGCATATTTTAGAATTTACTAAAAACCACTGAATTCAACCCTTTAAAATAGTAAATTATATGGTAGGTGGTTATATGTCAATAAAAATTAATCTGCAGAAAAGTTACCATCACCAGGAGAAAGAACATTGTTGTGCCCATGATTGCGAATCGAGAAACCACCAAGGAGCCGACACTGATGCAAACACACGAGGGTTTATTTACAAGCTCGAGCCTGGGTCCAAGTATACCCAACACAGAGGAGCAGGGACTTGGACCCCAAGGCTAAGAGGGGTAGCAGCTTTATAGGGGCTAGTGGGATTGTAACATACGCAGAAAGTTGCACAGTCATGTCAGTCCACACGCAGGTGGCCAATTGAATTACATCTTACCCTATAGTATCCGTTTGAACTGGCCTATCACCCTGGTCGGAATTGGCGCGCAGTTTTGGCGGGCACAAGGCAGGGTTACATTGTTATGAGCCGATTTCCAATGAGGGTGTGCCAAGCGGCTTGACTAGGGTGGGGCAGCGCCTTAAGCAATAAGCAGGTCATGTGGGGGTCATACAGGAGGTGGCGGGTGCAGCACAAAATGGAGTTAGTCCTGTTCTGCTTGTCCAGGGGTACGGGATTTTTGTTAAATTTCCAGGGTCCCATAAACATATGTTTAGAAATATAATCACCTCATTCATTTGGGGAATATAAATAATAGTGAAAGGGAATATAAGGGAAGGGAGAAGAAATGTGTGCGAAATATCAGAAGGGGAGACAGAACATAAAGACTCCTAACTCTGGGAAACGAACTAGGGGTGGTGGAAGGGGGAGGAGGGCGGGGGGTGGGGGTGAGTGGGTGATGGGCACTGAGGGGGACACTTGACGGGATGAGCACTGGGTGTTTTCTGTAAGTTGGCAAATTGAACACCAATAAAAAAATTTATTATAAAAAAAGAAATATCACAAGTGATACAACTATTGGAGTTATCAGACATGGAGTTTAAAATGACTATAATATGCTTAACAAAATAGATGACAGGTATGAATAAATGTTACCAGAATTTACTAAAATCTATGAAAACATCTTTAAATTTAAATTCAAGTAATTAACATACAGTGTATTATTAGTTTCAGAGGTAGAGCTCATTGATTCATCAGTCTTCTATAATACCAGTGCTCATTACATCAAATGTGCTCCTTAATGTCCATCACCCAGTTATCCCCCCTTCACCCTCCAGCAACCCTCAGTTTGTTTCCTATGATTTAAAGTCTCTTCTGGTTTGTCTCCCTCTCTAGTTTCATGTTTTAATTTTCCCTCCCTTCCCCTATGATCTTCTGTTATGTATGAAAACCGTTTAAAGGGAAGTTCTGCAACTGAAGAAACCAACAACTGTAATTAAGAACTCAGTAGAGGGATCCCTGGGTGGCGCAGCGGTTTGGCACCTGCCTTTGGCTCAGGGCGCGACCCTGGAGACCCGGGATCGAATCCCACATTGGGCTTCCGGTGCATGGAGCCTGCTTCTCCTTCTGCCTGTCTCTGCCTCTCTCTCTCTCTCTTTCTGTGACTATCATAAATGAATAAAAAAATAAAAAAAAAATAAAAAAAAAGAACTCAGTAGATAGGATTACCAGCAGATTGGATAAATTGAAATGAGGATTGGTGAACTGAAAGATTAAGGAAACACCAAGACTGGGGATCCCTGGGTGGCTCAGTGGTTAAGCGCCTGCCTTCGGCCTGGGGTATCCTGGAGTCCTGGAATTGAGTCCCACATCAGGATCCTTGCATGGAGCCTGCTTCTCCCTCTGTCTGTGTCTCTGCCTCTCTCTCTCTCTCTCTCTTCTCTCTCTCTCTCCCTCTCTCCCCCACCCCTGCCCTGTGTCTCTCATGAATAAATAAATAAAATCTTTAAAAAAAAAAAGAAAGAAAACACCAAGACTGAAGCACAGGGAAGACATAGCAATTGTATCTCATATTGTAAAAAGGTCTAACATACAAATAATTTGACTTTCAAAATGAGGTAAGAGATGATGAGTAAAGTCCCTAAAGAAAGAGTGGTCAATAATTTTCTAACACTCATAAATATCAAGTCATAGATTAAAGGAGCACTACAAACACCAAGCAGAATAAATACAAAGAAAACTGCACGTGACATCATAGTACCTAATAAAACCAAAGAAGAAGAAAAAATCTTAAAAAGGGAGAAAAACATTATATTCAAATAAGCAACAAATAAGACTGGGATTTAACTTCTCAACATAATGTCAGAAGATCATGTAATATCTTGGAAGTATAACTTTCAAAAGTAAGGGCAATAGTGACAGATGGTAGCTGCACTTGTGGTGAGCATAATATAACACGTAGAGAGGTTGAATCACTATGTTGTACACCTGAAACTAATATCACAACCAGTATAATCTGTATGTCAGCTATAATCCAAAAAATAAAATAACAAAAAATTTAGGGACACCTAGGTGGCTTAGTGATTAAGCATCTGACTTTTTTTTTTTTTAAGGTTTTGTTTATTTATTCATGAGAGACAGAGAGAGAGAGAGGCAGAGACACAGGCAGAGGGGGAAGCAGGCTCCTCACAGGGAGCCTTGGTGCAGAACTCAGTCCTCGACCCTGGGATCACACCCTGAGCCTTAGGCAGAGTCTCAACTGCTGAGCCACCCAGGCATCTCAGCATCTGACTTTTTTAAAAATATATATATATTTTATTTATTTATTTATTCATGAGATACACACACAGAGAGAGGAAGAGACATCTATAGGCAGAGGGAGAAGCAGTCTCTCCGTAGGGAGCCTAAAGTTGAACTCAATCCCGGTAGCAGGATCATGCCCTGAGCCAAAGGCAGACGCCC